ATCCCATTGATTGATAAAAAATCCCTCTATCTACTTGGTACTCCCTTATCTACTGGTGAAAAACCACAGTGTGCCATCACAGCTGCAAGATTTGTGACCTGTTGCCACAAGAAAAGGGCAACCAGTGAAGAACAAACACCATTGTAAATACAACCCATATTTATGTTTATTTATTTTCCCATTTGTACTTTAACTATTTGCACATTGTTACAACACTGTATATATACATAATATGACATTTGAAATGTCTTTATTCTTTTGAAACTTCTGAGTGTAATGTTTACTGTTAATATTTATTGTTTATTTCACTTTTGTTTACTATCTACTTCACTTGCTTTGGCAATGTTAACACACGTTTCCCATGCCAATAAAGCCCTTAAATTGAATTGAATTGAATTGAGAGAGAGAGAGAGAGAGAGAGAGAGAGAGAGAGAGAGAGAGAGAGAGAGGTAATTTATTTACAGGGTGACATTGGCTCTCATGGTTTTGTTTCGCAGGAAACAGGTGTGAAGACTTGGCTGGAAAACAATTGTGTGTTCATGAATGCACAGAGAAACATTAAATTGTTTATGTGTAGGGCTATGTGTGCATGTATTCATTATTTTCTATGTGTGTCTGTATGTGTGCACTACGTCACTTCCTGTTGAACACTTCCTGTTGAATGCGGAATGAGGGAGAGCTCAGTTTGTTGTTTTGAAGAGTTTGTTGCTTTGAAGTGTAAAGTTTCTTGGTAGCTAGCTAACTTTTTAGTTTGGATCACGCAACGGATTTGGCATCAGTTGCTGGGACTGCTACTCCCTGTCCAGTGATCCTGCGCACCCTGAGGAGCTATTAGGCGTAGCAGTTAGCCTAGCTGCTAGCTAGCTGCCTATCAAACTAACAAGGTTTTCTTGAGGGGTTGAACGCAGCCCGCGACGCAGTTTGCGATTGTGGCTGGGACTGTGGATTGTTGCGGGTTTGTGGCTGTCTAGATCCCTGCTGTTTGTTGTTTTCAATCTTCCCTGTGACCTGCCCTGTCTCGAACTGCGAGGAGTAACAGCATAAGCTACGTTGCTAGCTACCATGACAAAGACCAAAGCCGGCGAGTGTACAGTTGAGGAAAGTGGTGCCTCTCTATCACAGGTGAAGGATATTTTAAACAAACAAAAAGAGTTCTACAAACAGCTGTTACAACAACAAGAAAATAGCTTCAAGTGTTTTGTCCAAATAATGGTCAATTCAACTAATAAAAGAATGGACATCCTGACCAGAGAGGTCCAGGACCTGAAGAACTGTTTGCAGTTCTCCCAGGGTCAGCTCGATGAGGTGAAACAGGAGAACGGCAAGATGACAGCAATCTGTAAGTCCTTGAGAGAAGACATCAGTTCCGTGTGTGAATCCATGATAACAATGATGGAAAAATCTCAGTCTTGTCTCGAGAGACAATCAAGGCGGAACAACATGGTTGTGAACGGAAATGCAAAATCTCCACACGAGACCTGGACAGAGTCTGAGGACAAAGTGAGGGAAATGATCTCTGAGAAATTGAAGATGGACCACTGGAAGAATGAGGTGGAGCGCGCCCACAGGACTGGAAAACCCACCACCAGCCCAGATGACAGGCCCAGGCCGATTGTCGTCAAGTTCCTGAGGTTCAAGGACAAGGTACAGTGGCAACAGTATTCACCCCCCTTGTTCTGGAAAGAGCCAAGATCTTGAAAGGAACGTACAGTACCAGTCGAAAGCTTGGACACACCTACTTTTTTTCTTTCTTTTTTGCTATTTTCTACACTGTATAATAATAGTGAAGACATCAAACCTATGAAATAACACATATGAATCATGTAGTAACCAAAAAAGCGTTCAACAGACCAAAATATATTTTAGATTTTAGATTCTTCAAAGTAGCCACCCTTTGCCTTGATGACAGCTTTGCACACTCTTGGCATTCTCTCAACCAGCTTCAATATGAAATCAATAAGATCAATGAAATAAAGAATGACAGCAAAAAGCTTTGGAGCAACTTAAATGACATTTTTGGCAAAAAGGCAAACTCTGATCCATCATTCATTGAATCAGATGGCTCATTCATCACAAACCCACTGACATTGCCAACTACTTTAATAATATTTCCATTGGCATATTTTGCAAACTTGGTCATGACATGCCAGCAACAAATGCTAACACTCCAGATCCAAGTATATCTGACCAAATTATGAAAGACAAACATTGTAATTTTGAATTCCGTAAAGTAAGTGTGGAAGAGGTGAAAACATTATTATTGTCGATCAACAATGACAAGCCACATGGGTCTGACAACTTGATTGGAAAATTATTGAGGATAATAGCGGACAATATTGCCACTCCTATTTGCCATATCTTCAATTTAAGCCTACTAGAAAGTGTGGCCCCTCAGGCCTGGAGGGAAGCAAAACTTATTCCCCTACTTAAGAATAGTAAAGCCCCCTTTACTGGCTCAAATAGCTGACCAATCAGCCTGTTACCAACCCTTAGTAAACTTTTGGAAAAAATTGTTCGACCAAATAAAATGCTATTTTTCAGTAAACAAATTGACAAGAGACTTTCAGCGACATTCAACAAGCACAGCACTTACACAAATGACTGTTGATTTGCTGAGAGAAATTGATGATAAAAAGATTGTGGGGGCTGTTTTGTTAGACTTCAGTATGGCTTTTTACATTATCGATCATAGTCTGTTGCTGGAAAAATATATGTGTTACGGCTTTACACCCCCTGCTATATTGTGGATAAAGAGTTACCTGTCTAACAGAACACAGAGGGTGTTCTTTATTGGAAGCCTCTCCAACAAAATCCAGGTAGAATCAGGAATTCCCCAGGGCAGATGTCTAGGCCCCTTACTTTTTTCAATCTTTACTAACGACATGCCACTGGCTTTGAGTAAAGCCAGTGTCTATGTATGCGGATGACTCAACACTATACACGTCTGCTACCATAGCGACTGAAATGACAGCAACACTTAACGAAGAGCTGCAGTTAGTTTCAGAATGGCTGGCAAGGAATGTCCTAAACATTTCAAAAACTAAAAGCATTGTATTTGGGACAAATCATTAACTAACCCTAAACCTCAACTAAACCTTGTAATGAATAATGTGGAAATTGTGCATGTTGAGGAGACTAAATTGCTTGGAATAACCCTGGATTGTAAAATGTCATGGTCAAATATATTAAAACAGTAGCTTTGATGGGAAGAAGTCTTTCAATAATAAAGCGCTCCTCTGCATTCTTAACAGCACTATTAACAAGGAAGGTCCTACAGGCCATAGTTTTGTAACACCTGGACTACTGTTCAGTCGTGTGGTCAGGTGCCACAAATAGGGATTTAGTTAAATTGCAATTGGCTCAGAACAGGGCAGCACGGCTGGCCCTTGGATGTACACACATAGAGCTAACATTAATGCATGTCAATCTCTCCTGGCTCAAAGTGGAGGAGAGATTGACTACATCACTACTTGTATTTGTGAGAGGTATTGACATGTTGAATGCACAGAGATGTCTGTTTGAACTACTGGCACACAGCTCGGACACATATGCATACCCCACAAGACATGCCACCAGAGATCTCTTCACAGTCCCCAAGTCAAGAACAGACTATGGGAGGCGCACAGTACTACATAGAGCCAAGTAACTCACGCCAGAAGTAAAATTAGATTTAAAAAACAGATAAAAATACGCCTTATGGAACAGCAAGGACTGTGAAGCAACACAAACATAGACACGTGCATACAAACACACAATAACATACACACTATACACACATACACATGGATTTTCTGTTATAGATATCTGGTAGTAGAGTAGTGGCCTGAGGGCACACACTTTATATGTTGTGAAATCTGTTGTGAATGTATTGCAAGGATTTTAAAATGTATAACTGCCTTAATTTTGCTGGACCCCAGGAAGAGTAGCTGTTGCCTTGGCAGCGGCTAATGGTAATTCATAATAAATACAAATACAAATAACTTGCCATCAGATAACGTTCATAAATTAGCTATTTCTGAGACTCACTTAAACGATACATTTGATGATACAGCAGTAGCAATACCAGGATATACAATCTATAGAAGAGACAGAAATGCTTATGGGGGAGGTATCACTATATACAGTACCAGTCAAAAGTTTTAACAAACCTACTCATTCGAGGGGTTTTCTTTATTTTTACTATTTTTTACATTGTAGAATAATAGTGAAGATATTAAACTATGAAATAACACATATGGAATCATGTAGTAACCAAAAAAGTGTTAAACAAATCAAAATATATTTTATATTTGAGATTCTTCAAATAGCCACACTTTGCCTAGATGACAGCTTTGCACACAAAAAAATGATCAGTCTATAATTTTAATGGTAGGTTTATTTGAACAGTGAACAAATCCAGAAAAATGCATGTCAAAAATGTTATGAATTGATTAGCATTTTAATGAGGGAAATAAGTATTTGACCCTTCTGCAAAACATGATTTTGTACTTGCCCTTGTTGGCAATCACAGAGGTCAGACGTTTCTTGTAGTTGGCCACCAGGTTTGCACACATCTCTGGAGGGATTTTGTCCCACTCGTCTTTGCAGATCTTCTCCAAGTCATTAAGGTTTCGAGGCTGACGTTTGGCAACTCAAACCTTCAGCTCCCTCCACAGATTTTCTATGGGATTAAGGTCTAGAGACTGGCTAGGCCACTCCAGGACCTTAATGTGCTTCTTCTTGAGCCACTCCTTTGTTGCCTTGGCCATGTGTTTTGGGTCAGTGTCATGCTGGAATACCCATCCACGACCCATTTTCAATGCCCTGGCTGAGGGAAGGAGGTTCTCACCCAAGATTTGACGGTAAATGGCCCCGTCCATCGTCCTTTTGTTGCGGTGACGTTGTCCTGTCCCCTTAGCAGAACCCCCCCCCCCCCCCCCCCCCCCCCCCAAAGCATAATGTTTCAACCTCCATGTTTGACGGTGGGGATGGTGTTCTTGGGGTCATAGGCAGCATTTCTCCTCCTCCAAACACGGCTAGTTGAGTTGATGCCAAAGAGCTCAATTTTGGTCTCATCTGACCACAACACTTTCACCCAGTTCTCCTCTGAATCATTCAGATGTTCATTGGCAAACTTCAGACGGGCCTGTATATGTGCTTTCTTGAGCAGGGGGACCTTGCGGGCGCTGCAGGATTTCAGTCCTTCTTGGCGTAGTGTGTTACCAATTGTTTTCTTGGTGACTATGGTCCCAGCTGCCTTGAGATCATTGACAAGATTCTCCCGTGTAGTTCTGGGCTGATTCGTCACCGTTCTCATGATCATTGCAACTCCACAAGGTGAGATTTTACATGGAGCCCGAGGCCGAGGGAGATTGACAGTTATTTTGTGTTTCTTCCATTTGCGAATAATCACACCAACTGTTGTCACCTTCTCACCAAGCTGCTTGGCGATGGTCTTGTAGCCCATTCCAGCCTTGTGTAGGTCTACAATCTTGTCCCTGACATCCTTGGAGAGCTCTTTGGTCTTGGCCATGGTGGAGAGTTTGGATTCTGATTGATGGATTGCTTCTGTGGACAGGTGTCTTTTATACAGGTAACAAGATGATATTAGGAGCACTCCCTTTAAGAGTGTGCTCCTAATCTCAGCTCATTACCTGTATAAAAGACACCTGGGAGCCAGAAATCTTTCTGATTGAGAGGGGGTCAAATACTTATTTCCCTCATTAAAATGCAAATCAATTTATAACATTTTTGACATGCATTTTTCTGGATTTTTTTGTTGTTATTCTGTCCCTCACTGTTCAAATAAACCTACCGTTAAAATTATAGACTGATCATTTCTTTGTCAGTGGGCAAATGTACAAAATCAGCAGGGGATCAAAAACTTTTTTTTGATTTTAAAATTGATGTACTTCTGTTATTGAGCTGTTCTTGTCTATTAATGTTCTGTATTATGTCATGTGTTATGTTTTGTGTGGACCCCAGGAAGATGCAACAGCTAATAGGGATCCTAATAAAATACCAAATACCAAATGTCCATGTGATCTGTGATACTATCTCACCTCTAGTGGCTAACCGACTACATCTCGTTCCTCCAGGCTAAAGTGCTCACGCAGGCTTTTTCTGAGGTGTCATCCCAAGAGCGGGGGATCTGTTGGGGCCAGGGCACTGCGGGTCACCACAGGCTAATTTAGTAGTGCCGCTAACCAGGCTAGTGCCCTCAGCTCCTCAACCGTTCACCTTTTCCTGACCCTGTTAGCATGGTGACAGCTAGCTACCGCCAACCTCTCTTTTCACCTTGGTTTCCAATTGGCCCTTTTTTAAATATATTTATATATATATGTATCGTCCAGAGTGTGTGTGCATGTGTTTGTGTGTTAGTGTGTGTGCGTGTGCATGTGCGTGTGTGTGTAATTTTAAATATATATATATTCTTTTTAGATTGTTATTAAGAGCTTCTTTCTATTTTTGTCTGAATTCATCACTTCTCTTCTATTTTCAGTCATTATCTGTGTGTATCAGTGTGTATCTGTGTGTTTTTGTGTGTATCTGTGTGTATCTGTGTGTATCTGTGTTTGGCTCTTGCTGTAACCTTCAGTCAGTTCTGACCTTGCGTATAGGACCCCGGAGTGCTGCATGATGAAAACATGATCATATATTTGAGGACAGAGTATTTAATGTGACAGGCACTAATTCATGATGACAAAACGCACACACACACACAGAGGCACCCACCCACACAGAGACACACCCACGTTCAGGGACCAGGGATCTTGATTAAACGACGGGGGAAGTGATGGAATGTCAGAACCATTTAATGTAAAGTTCTGACACTTTTATGAGGCTTGCTCTAAGACATGAGTGCGTGCGTGCGACATGTGCATGTGCACGTGTGTGTGTGTGTGTGTGTGTGTGTGTGCGGGTTCGTGCGTGCGTGCGTGCGTCTGTGCGTGTGTGTGTGTGTGTGTACATTTGTTTATGTGTGCACCACTATATATATCTATTAGGTTTAATGGTGTGTGGGGGAAGTGAAGCTCCTGAGTATTGTCCCATGACGCGTTAACAATTTGTCAATCAACACTCTCCAATTACAAATATAATACACTCAAATGACTTGGCAGGCGGCCATTAGATTTCTGCGGTGCGGTGGTAGAACACCCTGATACAAGTCAGTATCCGACGATGTCTGAGGACATCGGGAGACGATGTGGGAACCAGTCACTAGGGGCAACAGTGAGCGCCGTTACCTCCTACCTTACATCGCCGAAGTCAAGGATCGGTAGAATAGTCAGTTTTACGAGGGCATGTTTGGCAGCATGAGTGAAGGAGGCTTTATTGGGAAATAGGTAGCCGATTCTAGATATAACTTTGGATTGGAGATGCTTAATGTGAGTCTGGAAGGAGAGTTTACGGTCTAACCAGACACCTAGGTATTTGTAGTTGTCCACAAATTCTAAGTCAGACCCACCGAGAGTAGTGATTCTAGTCGGGCGGGCGGTGCGAGCAGCGTTCGATTGAAGAGCATGCGTTTAGTTTTACTAGCGTTTAAGAGCAGTTGGAGGCTACGGAAGGAGTGTTGTATGGCATTGAAGCTCGTTTGGTGGTTTGTTAACACAGTGTCCAATGAAGGGCCAGATGTATACAAAATGGTGTCGTCTGCGTAGAGGTGGATCTGAGAGTCACCAGCAGCAAGAGCGACATCATTGATATACACAGAGAATAGAGTCGGCCCGAGATTTGAACCCTGTGGCACCCCCATAGAGACTGCCAGAGGTCCAGACAACAGGCCCTCCGATTTGACACATTGAACTCTATCTGAGAAGTAGTTGGTGAACCAGGCGAGGCAGTCATTTGAGAAACCAAGGCTATTTAGTCTGCCGATAAGAATGCGGTGATTGACAGTGTCGAAAGCCTTGGCCAGGTTGATGAAGACGGCTGCACAGTACTGTCTTTTATCGATCGCAGTTATAATATCGTTTAGGACCTTGAGCGTGGTTGAGGTGCACCCATGACCAGCTCGGAAACCAGATTGCATAGCGGAGAAGGTACGGTGGGATTCGAAATGGTCGGTGATCTGTTTGTTAACTTGGCTTTCAAATACTTTCGAAAGGCAGGGCAAGATGGATATAGGTCTGTAACAGTTTGGATCTAGAGTGTCACCCCCTTTGAAGAGGGGGGTGACCGCGGCAGCTTTCCAATCTCTGGGGATCTCAGATGATACGAAAGAGAGGTTGAACAAACTAGTAATAGGGGTTGCTACAATTTCGGCGGCTAATTTTAGAAAGAAAGAATCCAGATTGTCTACCCCAGGTTTTGCAGCTCTTTCAGAACATCAGCTATCTGAATTTGGGTGAAGGAGAAGCGCAGGGGGGGCATGGGCAAGTTTCAGCGGAGGGTGCAGAGCTGGTGGCCGGGGTAGAGGTAGCCAGGTGGAAAGCATGGCCAGCCGTAGCAAAATGCTTATTGAAATTCTCGATTATCGTAGATTTATCAGTGGTGACAGTGTTTCCTAGCCTCAGTGCAGTCGGCAGCTGGGAGGAGGTGCTCTTATTCTCCATGGACTTTACAGTGTCCCAAAACTTTTTGGAGTTAGTGCTAAAGGATGCAAATTTCTGTTTGAAAAAGCTAGCCTTTGCTTTCCTAACTGATTGTGTATATTGGTTCCTGACTTCCCTGAAAAGTTGCATATCGCGGGGGCTGTTCGATGCTAATGCAGTACGCCACAGAATGTTTTTGTGCTGGTCAAGGGCAGTCAAGTCTGGGGTGAACTAGGGGCTATATCTGTTCTTAGATCTGAATTTTTTGAATGGGGCATGCTTATTTAAGATGGAGAGGAAAGCACTTTTAAAGAACAACCAGGCATCCTCTACTGACGGAATGAGGTAAATATCCATCCAGGATACCCGGACCAGGTCAATTAGAAAGGCCTGCTTGCTGAAGTGTTTTAGGAAGCGTTTGACGGTGATGAGGGGTGGTCATTTGACAGCGGACCCATTACGGACGCAGGCAATGAGGCAGTGATCGCTGAGATCCTGGTTGAAGACAGGGGAGGTGTATTTAGAGGGTAAATTAGTCAGGATTATATCTATGAAGGTGGCCATGTTTACGGATTTAGGATTGTACCTGGTAGGTTCCTTGATAAACATCTAGTTTAGATTGTGGAACGGCCGGGGTGTTAAGCGTATCCCAGTTTAGGTCACCAAGCAGTACGAACTCTGAGGATAGATGGCGGGCAATCAATTCACATATGGTGTCCAGGGCACAGCTCGGGGCTGAGGGGGGTCTGTAACAAGTGGCAAGAGTGATAGACTTATTTCTGGAAAGGTGGATTTTAAGAAGTAGAAGCTCAAACTGTTTGGGCACAGACCTGAATAGTATGATAGAGCTCTGCAGGCTATCTCTACAGTAGATTGCAACTCCGCCCCCTTTGGCAGTTCTATCTAGATGGAAAATGTTGTAGTTGGGGATGGACATTTCTGAATTTTTGGTGGCCTTCCTAAGCCAGGATTCAGACACTGCTAGAACATCAGGGTTGGCGGAGTGTGCTAACGCAGTGAATAACTCAAACTTAGTTAGGAGGCTTCTGATGTTAACATGCATGAAACCAAGGCTTTTACGGTTACAGAAGTCAACAAATGATAGCGCTGGGGAGTAGGAGTGATACTGGGGGCTACTGGGCCTGGGTTAACCTCTACATCACCAGAGGAACAGAGGAGGAGTAGAATAAGGATACAGCTAAAGGCTTTAAGAACTGGTCTTCTAGTGCGTTGTGTACAGAGAATAAAAGGGGCAGATTTCCGGGCGTTGTAGAATAGATTCAGGGCATTATGTACAGACAAGGATATGGAAGGATATGATTACAGTGGAGGTAAACCTAAGCGTTGGGTAACGATGAAAGAGATAGCATCACTAGAGGTACCGATTGAGCCGGTCTCTGCGTGTATGGGGGTGGGACAAAGGAGCTATCTAAGGCAGGTTGAGCTAGACTGGGGGCTCTACAGTGAAATAGTACAATAAGAACTAACCGAAACAGCAATAGGCAAGGCACATTGACATGGGAGAGAGGCATAAAGCAATCACAGGTGTTATTCGAGAGAGCTAAGACAACACTGGTAATGGTGACGAAAGTTTGGGCTGAGGCTAAACAGATAAACAGGACAGATAAACAGGATGGGGTACCGTGTAAAGGAATGGTCCAGCAGGCATCAGCTGTGTAGCTGAGTGATCATAAGGTCCAGTGAACAGCAATAGGTGAGTCCGGGAGTAGTTCGATGGCTGCTATGGCACAGGTGAGCAGGAGGCACGGCTGTTGATTGCGTGTGCTAGCGGGCCGGGGCTAGCCTGTTGAAACAACATCAGACGATTACATCGGCAGACCAGTCGTGATGGATCGGCGGGGCTCCGTATCGACAATAGGAGATCCCTTCTGGTTGACAGAGAAGTAGATAGCCGGAAGATGGGCCTGGCACGAGGCTAGCTCAAGGCTAACTGGTGCTTGCTTCGGGGGTAGTGGTGATTAGCCAACAACAACATCCATTCGGTTGCAGCAGCTAGTTGCGATGATCCGGTGTTAAGGTTCAGTGATTCCGGCAGATAATCCGATATGCTCTAGCTCGATAGCGCGCTGTGCAGACTGTGCAGACTGGTCGATAATTGTCCAGGCTAGAGCTGGCTGGTAGGTAGTGCAGGTCACGGACAATGGTGAAAACCGCTAATGGTGGCTAATAGCAAGTAGCTAGTTAGCTGAAACCAGCAATATATAGTTGTTTCCGATATTTTGTATTTTAAACCAATCCCAAACCTTAACCCTTAACTTAACCATTCTGAGTTTATGCCTAAACTTAACCTTAAACGATCCAAAATGTGATGTTTGGAACAACTTCGAAGTGTGACATTTGAGAAACATGGATGAACACCTAATATGATGCGAGACTGTAAGAGCTGGTAGGGTAGAACGCTATTAAAGCAGGGATTGGTGTGTGTTCAGCATTCAACCCTCTGAGTTCACTCTCATAGGAAAGTCAGAGACAGACAGGGCTGAATTGAGGACACTTTCAGGATCTAATAGGGATGTCGTGCTGGGCTGTGTGTACAACAATCTCTCTCTGTCTAACATCAACACAGTGAGAGGTAGGGGGAAGGTGAGGAGAGGAGAGGAGGGCAGCGGAGGAGAGGAGGAGAGGAGGGCAGCGGAGAAGAGGAGGGAGGGGAGAGAGAGGTGGGAGAGGAGGGAGAGGAGGGAGAGGAGGGGAGGAGAGGAGGAGAGGAGGGAGAGGAGAGGGAGGGTGCAGTGGAGGAGAGGAGGGGCAGCGGAGAAGAGGAGGGAGGGAGAGAGAGAGGTGGGAGAGGAGGGAGAGGAGGGAGGAGAGAGGAGAGGAGGAGAGGAGGGAGAGGAGGCAGGGGAGGAGAGAAGAGGAGGGAGAGGAGGGAGAGGAGGGAGGGAGGGAGAGGAGGGGAGGAGAGGAGGAGAGGAGGGAGAGGATGGAGAGGGGGGCAGGGGAGGAGAGAAGAGGGGAGAGGGGGGAGAGGAGGGAGGCAGGGGAGGAGAGGAGGAGAGGAGGGAGAGGAGGGAGAGGAGGGCGAGGGGGCAGAGGAGGAGAGAAGAGGAGGGAGAGGGGGGAGAGGAGGGGAGGAGAGGAGGGAGAGGAGGAAGAGAGGAGGGGGCAGGGGAGGAGAGAAGAGGAGGGAGAGGAGGGGAGGAGAGGAGGGAGAGGAGGGAGAGGAGGGAGAGGAGGGAGAGGAGGGAGAGGAGGGAGAGGGGGCAGGGGAGGAGAGAAGAGGAGGGAGAGGGGGGAGAGGAGGGGAGGAGAGGAGGGAGAGGAGGGAGAGGAGGGAGAGGGGCAGGGGAGGAGAGAAGAGGAGGGAGAGGAGGGAGAGGAGGAGAGGAGAGGAGGGAGAGGAGGGAGAGGGGGGAGAGGAGGGGAGGAGAGGAGGGAGAGGAGGGCGGTGGAGGAGAGGAGGGATGAGAATTTGCTGTGTTTGCAGAGAGGGAGGAAGAGTCTGTGTGTAGGGTGTGGGGTAGTGTGCATGAGTGTCTGTGTGTGTATGTGTGTGTATGTGTGTGTAACTATACTTGTGGGGACCAGAAGTCCCCACAAGAATAGTAAACAAACACAAATTTGACCAACTGGGAACATTTTGTTGATCCCCACAAGGTCAAATGCTAGTTCTAGGGGGTTTAGAGTTCTAGGGGGTTAGAATTAGTGTTAGGGTTAGAATTTGGTTTAGGGTTAGGATTAGGAGCTTGGGTTACATTTAAGGTTAGGTTTTCGGGTTAAGGTTAGGGTTAGGGTTAGGGTAAGGTTAAGGGTACAGGTTAGGGGTAGGTTTAGGGTTAGGGGGTAGGGAAGATAGGATTTTGAATGGGACTGAATTGTGTGTCCCCAAAAGGTTAGTTGTACAAGACTGTGTGTGTGTGTGTGTGTGTTTGAGAGTGTGTGTGTGGGAGAGGGAGAGAGTGTGTGTGTGTGTGTGTGTGTGCGCGCGTGTGTGTGTGTGTGCGTGTTTGTGTGTTACCCCCACCAGGGAAATGGAGTGACTAGACTCAACTTGTCACCATGCAGAGTGACACCTATTGAGATGAAAACCAGTCAACAGACACAGAGAGAGAGAGAGAGAGAGAGAGAGAGAGAGAGAGAGAGAGGAGAGAGAGAGGGAGAGAGAGAGGAGACGAGGAGAGGAGAGGAGAGCAGAAGGGAGGAGGAGAGAGAGAGGAGGAGAGAGAGAGAGAGAGAGAGAGAGAGAGAGAAATTAGCTCCTACAAATATTGAGATTTACATGATTTTTAGAGTGAAGTACATTGGAAAAAACAATACCAGCATTGTTATGGTAATTGTTTACCCACCAGACATCCAAACGGAGAAAGTTAAGAAATGTTTCAAAGGTTTGATGATGGGACAGAACCATGAATGCCTGTTTGCAGATCTTACCAGTTGCAAAACAAGAGCAAATGTAATATTTAATACCAAATGAGGACACATATGGAAAAGGGTTATTTGCAACCATTTTCGTTTCTCAAAAAAGAGAGGCATCAGCCAAGGCTGTCAGATCAGCATTTTTTAAGAAGCTGACCAGAGCAACACATATCAAACAGTCAACTTATACAATCATGGAACTGTATTGATACAAGGCAATGATTCAAGCCTCCAGTCTTTTGAGAATGTGTTTGCTACCCTAAAAGTAGAAGCTGAACTCATCTCAGAAGCTGAGGAAAAAGGAGGGAGATGATGGAGGCCCCAACACCCCCAACAGCCTCTGTGACCCAGCAAGAAGCCCTCCGTGTCCCTCTACCTACCTCACCTGCAGCAGACAGAGCCAAGGACATGCCTACAACACCAAGAACACCTGCTATGCAACGTTTCCACAACACCCTCTCTCTAGTTGAAGCAGAGGTCATAGAACTCAGAGAGAACAAGCTTCAAGAGGATGACACTGTCCTCTGACAAACTGAGTCAGACAAATGATGACCTCCGGTAACATCTGAGCACAACAAGAGAGGAGCTAGAGCAGAGAGAGAGGTGCATTGACACCCTCAAACAGCAGCTAGTCATTATGTCCTCTGCATCTAGAGAACATGTCCACCAGCTTGGTACAACACAGGCAGAACCTAAGACCAGCATGGCCTCCACCACACAGCCTGATGATACTGCACCAGCCTCCCAGTCTGCTCCAGCCCAGGTCAACCTACCGGCCTCCCAGTCTGCTCCAGCCCAGGTCAACCTACCAGCCTCCCAGTCTGCTCCAGCCCAGGTCAACCTACCAGCCTCCCAGTCTGCTCCAGCCCAGGTCAACCTACCAGCCTCCCAGTCTGCTCCAGCCCAGGTCAACCTACCGGCCTCCCAGTCTGCTCCAGCCCAGGTCAACCTACCGGCCTCCCAGTCTGCTCCAGCCCAGGTCAACCTACCAGCCTGCCAGTCTGCTCCAGCCCAGGTCAACCTACCAGCCTCCCAGTCTGCTCCAGCCCAGGTCAACCTACCAGCCTCCCAGTCTGCTCCAGCCCAGGTCAACCAACCAGCCTCCCAGTCTGCTCCACCCAGACAATCACCGACAACTGCAATCCTTATCGATTCAAATGGGAAGTTCTTGGTCCAGGAAAGATTATTCCCTAGACACCAGGTGTATAAGTTCTGGTGTCCTACAACTGAGAGTGCAATGCAGCTACTCAGTCAGACCAGGATTGACACCCCTGACAACATCATCATCCACACTGGCACAGGTGCCAAAGGTGAAAATGTTTCTGGGGCAGTGAGAAGAGTGGCAGAACGGGCACAGGCTATGTTCACAACAACCAATATAGTTGTGTCCACCCTCCTACCAAGAAAAGCAAATAAATCAACAGATCACTATGTGCCTCAATGCTCAACGTCAGAACGGCTCACCTTTCCACTCTGACGTGAACACTTATACGATTATGTACATCTTGATCAGGACATTGTCAAAACCTTTGCTAAGGACCTTAAGGATGCAACACTTGTCAGGGACCCACACACCCATCTCCACAGCAGCAGAGACCCCCCGCTCCACTTCCTGAAACAACAGTACCCCCACCATCCCCAGGAGAGAAGAGCCAGACACAGCTTACTACAGCACAGCTCTACAAGACCAGGCCCAACACAGCACAGATTTACCAGACCAGACCCGACTCAGGACAGCACGACCAGACCCGGCCCATCACAACACAGCTCTACTAGACCCGGCCCATCACAACACAGCTCTTCTAGACCCGGCCCATCACAACACAGCTCTACTAGACCCGGCCCACCACAACACAGCTCTACTAGACCCGGCCCATCCCAAAACAGCACTACTAGACCCGGCTCATCACAACACAACACCACTAGACCCGGCCCATCACAACACAGCACTGACCACTACTCTAGGGTCGGGCAGAACACTGTCCTTCAGAGAAGTGCACCACATGATGCAGTCCACAACATGTATCATTCAGATCATCAGCCTACATATGCTGAGGTAACCTCTGGCAAAACACACCTAGAACTATCAGAGATTGGAGAGGTGCTCCAACTACTGCATCTAATATACAGACTACTGGGATAGATAGACCCTTTAATTCACACACACACACACACACACACACACACACACACACACGTGTGTATATGTTTGTGTGTATGTATATAAACTCAGCAAAAAAAGAAACATCCCTTTTTCAGGACCCTGTCTTTCAAAGATAATTCGTAAAAATCCAAATAACTTCACAGATGTTCATTGTAAAGGGTTTAAACACTGTTTCCCATGTTTGTTCAATGAACCATAAACAATGAATGAACATGCACCTGTGGACCGGTCGTTAAGACACTAACATCTTACAGACGGTAGGCAATTAAGGTCACAGTTATGAAAACTTAGGACACTAAAGAGGCCTTTCTACTGACTCTGAAAAACACCAAAAGAAAGATGCCCAGGGTCCCTGCTCATCTGCGTGAACGTGCCTTAGGCATGCTGCAAGGAGGTATGAGGGCTGCAGATGTGGCCAGGGCAATAAATTGCAATGTCCGTACTGTGAGACGTCTAAGACAGCGCTACAGGGAGACAGGACAGACAGCTGATCGTCCTCGCAGTGGCAGACCACGTGTAACAACACCTGCACAGGATTGGTACATCCGAACATCACACCTGCGGGACAGGTACAGGATGGCAACAACAACTGCCTGAGTTACACCAGGAATGCACAATCCCTCCATCAGTGCTCAGACTGTCCGCAATAGGCTGAGAGAGACTGGACTGAGGGCTTGTTGGCCTGTTGTAAGGCAGGTCCTCACCAGACATCACCGGCAACAACGTTGGCTATGGGCACAAACCCACCGTCGCTGGACCAGACAGGACTGGCAAAAAGTGCTCTTCACTGACCAGTCACGGTTTTGTCTCACCAGGGGTGATGGTCGGATTCGCGTTTCTCATTGAAGGAATGAGCGTTACACCGAGGCCTGTACTCTGGAGCGGGATCGATTTGGAGGTGGAGGGTCTGTCATGGTCTGGGGCGGTGTGTCACAGCATCATCGGACTGAGCTTGTTGTCATTGCAGGCAATCTCAACGCTGTGCGATACAGGGAAGACATCCTCCTCCCTCATGTGGTACCCTTCCTGCAGGCTTATGCTTATATTGACATGACCCTCCAGCATGACAATGCCACCAGCCATACCGCTCGTTCTGTGCGTGATTTCCTGCAAGACAGGAATGTCAGTGTTCTGCCATGGCCAGCGAAGAGCCCGGATCTCAATCCCACTGAGCATGTCTGGGACCTGTTGGATCGGAGGGTGATGGCTAGGGCCATTCCCCCCAGAAATATCTGGGAACTTGCAGGTGCCTTGGTGGAAGAGTGGGGTAACATCTCACAGCAAGAACTGTCAAATATGGTGCAGTCCATGATCAGTTTTTTGACCATTTCCATACAGAAATCATTGCATTTCAGGCAGAGGGTAAAGTGCTTCTTTGTGGAGATTTCAATGAGAGAACAGGTTCAGCCTGACTACACTGATGCGGGTGGTAACTGCCACATATTTGGACAATCCTCCTTGTACAGTAGCCTTATTATAAATAATAGAAACAGTCCTGACCAAATACTGTACAAAAACGGGAAGGAGTTAGTGGATCTCTGTCGAGCCTTAGGCCTGTACATGCTTAATGGTAGAATCAGAGGGGACTCTTTAGGTCGGTTTACTTACTGCTCAGCTCTTGGGACAAGTGTAGTCGATTATGCCATCACTGACATCGACCCCTCCTCCATTAGTGCATTCACTGTCAGACCACAGTCACAATTGTCAGATCACAGTCATATCAACGTGTTTCTGAAGAAATTAACCAGCAATTCTCATTCAAAAAAACAGCCCAATATACTCTACAACATGAAACAATCGTAGATGGGCTCCAAACAGTGCAGAAAAACATTGAAACATTGAACTTAAATGAAATGATGAACTCTATACAGGTCTTCAATAACTCACAATACCAAAACAATAAAGAAGGTGTCAATTCGGCTACACAAAACATAAATTGCATATTCCAAAAAGCAGCAACAAAAGCAAATTTGAGAAAACCAAAGAAATACAACATCAGAAACAAAAAACAAAATGTTTCTGAAAAATGGTTTGATAACGAATGTAAAACAATTAGAAAACACCTAAGACAAATGTCAAATGATAAACATAAGCAGCCAAACAACCCGGAGCTACGCTATGAATACTTTGAAACTCTGAAACTGTGGTGAATGATGGACGGAGTCAGGCGCAGGAGTAAAATAACCGGATATAGATTTATTCCTTCCAGTCATACAATGCGCCTACAACGGCAATTGAAACAGGTACAGGGGAAACAATCCTCCCTGACCAAACACAGTCTCAGAAAATACAATAAATGTAATGACACAGGGGAAAATCAACCCTGGCAAAATAAATGAGAGAGTATCTCAACCGAGCTACTCTCCTCCCACATAGAACAATCACTCACAAAGACAAGGGGGCAGAGGGAACACTTATAAACAGATTAATTAGGGGATGAGCACCAGGTGTGTGTGACTGACAAGACAAGACAAGTGGAGTGATGAGAATGGGAGCGGCAGTAGCTAGTAAGCCGGTGACGACGAATGCCGAAACCTGCCTGAATAAGGAGGGGAGGCAGCCTCGGCGGAAGTCGAGACAGTACCTCCCCCTTGATGCGCGGCTCCAGCAGCACGCCGACCCCGGCCTCGGGGACGACCAGGAGGATGCGGAGCAGGGCGAGCCGGATGGCGACGGTGGAAATCCCAAGTCCCAAGTCTCCTCCGCACGCCGAAATCAGTCATCCACCGCAGGAGCCTCGGTCTGGCTCTGGTGCCACGGTGCCAGAACCGGTTGGTAACCTAAAACACATTGGAAGGACGTTAGGTTAGTGGAGGAGTGGCGGAGAGAGTTCTGGGCACATTCTGCACATGGCAAGAACACCGACCACTCCCCCGGCCGGTCCTGGCAGTAGGTCCGCAAGAACCTACCCATATCTTGATTAACCCTTTCCACCTGCCCATTACTCTCGGGGTGGAATCCAGAGGTCAGGCTGACCAAGACCCCCAGACGTTCCATGAACGCCTTCCAGACCCTAGACGTGAACTGGGGACCTCGGTCAGACACTATATCCTCTGGTACCCCGTAGTGCCGGAAGACGTGAGTAAACAGGGCCTCCGCAGTTTGTAGGGCCGTGGGGAGACCGAGCAGAGGAAGGAGGCGGCAGGACTTCGAAAAGCGGTGCACAATGACCAGGATGGTGGTGTTACCTTGGGAGAGGGGAAGATCAGTAAGAAAATCAATACTTAGATGAGACCATGGTCGTTGTGGAACTGGTAATGGTTGCAACTTACCTGCTGGGAGGTGCCTAGGTGCCTCACTCTGGGTGCACACCGAGCAGGAGGAGACGTACAACCTTACGTCCTTAGCCAAGGTAGGCCACCAGTATTTATCGGTCAGGCAGCGCACTGTACGACCGATACCCAATTGACCAGAGGAGAGTGACGTGTGTGCCCAGAGCAGGCACGTACCGCAGCCCAGCTGGACACTGAGGTGGAGATGGATCTGTGCGTAATGCCCGCTCTATATCCGCGACCATCGCCCATACTACCGGCGCCACAATGCATGAGGCCGGGAGCATGGGGGTGTTGTCTCTGGGCCTCTCCTCTGTGTCATACAGCCGGGACAGTGCGTCTACCTTCACGTTCCTCGTACCCAGAACGTATGATAGTGTGAAATCAAACCGGGTGAAGAAGAGGGCCCACCTGGCCTGACGAGGAGTAAACATCCCCGCTGTCCGGATGTACTCCAGGTTACGGTGGTCTGTCCAGACGAGGAAAGGGTGTTTCGCCCCTACGAGCCAATGCCTCCACACGGTCAAAGCTCGGACAACAGCCAGCAGCCCACGATCACCAACGCCGTAGTTCTGCTCCGCCGAGCTGAGCTTCTTAGGAAAGAAGGCACAGGGGCGGAGCTTGGGTGGTGTGCCCGAGCATTGAGACAGGACAGCGCCTATCCCTACCTCGGACGCATCCACCTCCACCACGAATGGTAGTGATGGCTCGGGGTGGGCCAGTATCGGGGCTGAGGTGAACAGACCCCGCAGTCTACTGAAGGCCAGGTCAGCCTCAGCAGACCAGCGGAGCCGGGACAGCCCACCCTTCAACAAGGAGATAATGGGAGCTGCGACCTTGCCAAAGCCCTGGATAAACCTCCGATAGTAGTTGGCAAAGCCAAGGAAGCACTGCACCTCCTTAACCATGGTTGGAGTCTGCCAATTACGCACGGCTGAAATGCGATCTCCCTCCATCTCCACACCTGAGGTAGTAATGCGGTATCTGAGGAAGGAGACTGACTGCTGGAAAAACTCACACATTTCTGCCTTGGCATGAAGGTCATTCTCCAGCAGTCAGACCAGTACCTTGCGAACCAGGGACACATGCTCGGCGCGTGAAGCGGAATACACCAGGATGTCATCGATGTAGACCACCACACCGCGACCAAGCATGTCCCGAAACACCTCGTTCACAAAGGACTGGAAGACGGATGGAGCATTCATCAAACGGTAGGGCATCACCAGGTATTCATAATGCCCCGAGGTTGTGCTGAATGCTGTTTTCCACTCATCCCCCTCCTGAATACACACCAGGTTGTAGGCACTCCTGAGATCTAATTTGGTGAAGAAGCGCGCCCCATGCATTGACTCAATCACTGAAGGAATGAGGGGAAGAGGATAACTAAATCGTATCGTCACCTTTTTCAGTGGTCGATAATCAATGCACCGGCGAAAACCGCCATTTTTCTTCTTCACAAAGAAGAAACTCGAGGAAGCAGGTGAAATGGAGGGACGTATATACCCCTGGCCCAGGGACTCGGTGACGTATATCTCCATAGTCTCAGTTTCAGCCTGCGACAGGGGATACACATGACTCCTGGGAGGAACAGCGTCTACCCGAAGGTTTATCGCGCAATCCCCCTCCCGATGAGGTGGTAATTTAGTCGCCTGTGTCTTGGAAAACGTGAGCGCCAGATCATGGTATTCGGGGGGAATGCGCACGGTGGGGG